GATGGCCTTGAGGGGCTAAAATGGTTTCCTAGGCCATGGTTAGGGTAGGGAATTCCATGGGAAGATGGTCTGGGCCGTACATGTGCATGTGACCCTCATGCCCTGATATTTGACATTCCGTATGTGCTCCAGGTAGATGATTTCTCTGGGTAAGGATGATGCTGGATGAAAGACTCTGTTACCCTGCAAGTTACGGAAGTAACAGCTTCCAAAGACAAAACAGGAATTTTAGCAATCAGGCTTTATCTAAAAAGCAACAATCAGTTCAGCTAAAATAAAGTCTTGTCTGCTCTGGGTTTGGTTATTGCAGGTCCTGGAACAACTGGGGTTACCGGGTAATGAGCAAGGCAGAATTCTGTTTTGTGGCTGGCTGTGTCTCATACAAACACCACTGTTTCTTTCACCTACATGTGAATAACTCTGGATGGTTTCTAGCTGACAGAGCATGCGATGGAAAGGAGGTACAGGCACCTCATTTGGTCCTTAACACCCCTTTGGGAGCCAGTCTCTAACCATGAATGCTAAATCCCACAGCAGCTTTGGTCCCTTGTGGGTGGAGCCAGTTATTCCTGAAAAAAATGGCAATACAAACGGCACTGATCTGGAAGACAATCTGGTGCTGGAAATAAAATGTTATGAGTATATATATTTATATATTTCAAATATATATATATTAATTTTTAAAAAATAAAAGAAGTAGGATTAGTGTAATCCAATTTTAGATATCCATAGCTTAAGTATGTGTATTTTTCCTAGTTTCACTCCCCACCCCGGCTCCCTTCACAGTCAACAGAGGAAGACAGGCACCTTAAGGGCATGACTCACTCAACCTGTTTTGAGATGTCTACCTAACGAGGTAGAAATTCTCTGTCCTCCAAGGGACAGTTTCTCTCCTCAACTGATTAAAAGGACAGTGAAACATGCTTACCTTGGGTGCAGCCATACACCTCTAGGGGCAATCTCACTCCCAGTAATCAAGGAAGAGAGATCATATCGCCAAAATCCTTTTGCACTGGAAATCTTCACACCTACTCACATATGAATACACAGCCTTGGGAGCCTGTTGAAAGACCCCTTACAGTAAAATTGAGGGTTATTATTTTGGTTAAGTTTTGGTCTATAAACAATGTTTTTCGTGGCATCTCTATCCCACAAACCTTCATCAGTGAAGTTAAGTCACTTCTGTTACAGATACAGTTGAAGCACACCTTTTCTGAAGAAAATAGTCAAAGCCTACTGCTCAAGGACTTCTGCGTGACAAGAAACATAATGGACTTCTTCCCCCAAATACATATCTGAATGCATTGAGCTTGAGCTGTCATGAATGCCATAACATACTGCTGCTGGAGATGCATTCCTGCCCTCCCTGAAGTGTAAACCCAAGAGCGCATCAGAGAGCAATGAGCTCTGCAGGAACCCAGTGGGAAAAACCTGGATGATGGTCTCTTTTATCACTCACTGGGGAATTGTTACTAGCAAATGCACTGGTAACTATTTTCTACTGTGCTTATTGCATCTAGCAATTTTGCATTTAATAGTCATAGTCTCATTTTACACCAAAATCTTAAATCAATAGACAATTACCACTCACAGCATTTTAAATAAAGACATCAGGACTCAAACATTGAATACAAAATGTTTTCATAGCTGTAACAAGAAACAGTAATTACTATAACTAAGCAGTGGCTCATCGGCAAAAGTTCGGTCATTGATATTTAAACCTGTGTATGTGACTTTACTTCAAACTCATGGAGAAAACTCTGGATTACTAACTCCTTTCTGAGGTTACAGAAGGATAATCACTATAACAGACACTATATGTTCAATTCTCTTTTATATTTGCTTAAATTTTGCATTCTACATTACAACAACTATTTATACAAAAGCCATGGTGAGAAGCCCACAAGAGCAGCTGCTGATTGTCCAGCCATTGAATCATGCCTCAGCTGTCTCAATGTGGTAAGTGTATTCTACATACATTTCACATAATCTTGTGCCAGTGAAAAATTAGATATGCTGGACTGTTGTATGGAGGTTTGCATCAATTGAAAGGCTCATTATATTCTTTTTGGATAATGCTTTCTCTCTAGTGACAAGAACAAATAGATGGGGGGTTTTTTTCTGTGCAGTAGTGAAGCTGCATTACCAAGAAAGCTGTCCCTTGAGAACTGGTAAGGTCTCTGTGACCTCGCTTATCCTGACAGATTCCTTCAGGTTTGCTTTATCTTTCCCAATTGTAATTTATGACCCAAGGCAATGATCCATCAAGCCAGGTACGTTGCTTGGAGCTTACAATGGCAAAGGAGGGATGGCATTCCTTGTCCACAGTGAACAAGAAAACTAACATTACCTTGTTGCAGGATACAAATTGTGTGAACAATTTCTATTGCATTTCTGTAGACCTTGCTTGACATGACTTTAGAAGTTGTAAGCTGTAATGTTTATACTTATAGACTGTGTGAAAATATGTAATGTTTATACTCGTTAGCTGTGTGTCTAATTATAAGGTTTGAGAACATAGTATGTTTATAGCAAGAAAGCCTTGAGAAAGTACAGATAAAGGTACACCTGCAGATTTCAGAAAGCCCCTAATTATGAAGGCCTCTACATGCCAAGTATGATTTCAGGCCGCGTGGACAGAACATCAGGTCCAATGAACTGGAGACATGAGGCGCGTGTACAAACTGAGCTATCCAATCACCTTGCTGTAAGCATGTGCCCAAAACAAACTAAACTGTATAAAAGTTGACTTAATTAAATAATAAATTGAACATATGGCTGACCACATTGGCCTGTATGCTTTATGTTCATGCCCCTCCATCGATATTACCTAATATAAGTTATCATATCTAACAAAAAGATAGTTGTTGCAGGAAATATTAAAGAACTGCAGTCTTTGATGTGAAGGTTGGGGACCCCTGTGACAGAGCACAGGAGCAAACCCAAAGTCCTTGCAAGTGCAGTCCAGACCCTACTGAAGCCAATAGTAAAACTCCCACTAATTTCAGCATGTTGAAGATTTCCTCTGGATTCAGTTTATGACAGAATCACGACCTTTTCAATGAGTGGCAGATGATGTCTCCATTCTGTGCCATAATGCTCAACTGTAAAACAGAAACTACAGGAGTTACCCCCACCAGCAAGAGAGAACAATGGAAGTTAATGCCAGCGCTAGCACAGCACACAACCACTCTGAAACCAGAGGTGCTAGAGAAATGGGGGCAGTCAGGGAGCACTTGGCTGCCTTCTGTTTACCAGGAAATAACTTTATCTGGCAATTTAGTATGGTGAGAAGTGTCAAGAGAAAAAAATTCCTTTTAGCAGAAACACTGCTAGGCAGTCACACTGGAATCAGAGTCCGTAATGAAAAGCTAATATTCACATTAGAGGGTCGAGAGCAAGAAATCTTCATTGTTTGTTGCTGGAGCAGAAAAGCATACACAACATTCTGAGTGATTCTTCCCCCACAGAATGCAACCAGCAAGAAGAAATAAGAGCGCTAAAAAAAACCCCGAAACTAAAGACAAACAAATTTACAACTCCCTCCTAGACCACCACTAGCACATTATTATAGATCTTCAGTTGGAAGAAAGAGCTATAGAACTACAAAGGAAAATGTATGCAGGTTTTGGTAATAATTTTTACTATACATTTTAAACAAGAAATCATAATGCTTTATTGTATTTAGTTGTAGGATTAATTTCTTCTTTATCTTGAGCTCCACCCAGTTGAGACTAGCTGCTGTTCTAGGAAGCTTGATAACATTCCAAATGTGTTTCTTTGGACGGAAAAATAACTATTTCACATCCAGCTCACTACCAGCTCCCAGGTGACTCTGCCCAGCCTCTGACAAGGTGCGACAATTACACATAGGGCAGGTTGCTCACCAATGGACATTTCTCATGCATCATGAGATGGGTGAGCAACCGGCTGATGGATCAGGTATAAAGGGTTATAATGAATGGGGTCACATCAGGCTGTAAACCTGTTACCAGTAGGGTTTTGCAGGGCTCCATCTTAGGCCCTGTGCTCTTCAATATCTTCATAAACGACTTGGATGCAGGACTCAAAGGGATACTAAATTTGCAGATGATACAAAACTGGGAGGAGCTGTTGATTCCCTCAAAAACAGAGAGACCTGCACAGAGACCTTGACAAATCAAAGGACCAGGCAGTCACCAACCATATGAAATTTAACTAGGGCAAGTGCTGGATTCTGCACTGAAGACAGGGCAGCCCTGGATGTGTGTATAGATTAGGGATTGAGGTTCTGGGAGCAGCGCTGTGGAAAGGGACCTGGGGGTCCTGGTTGAAGGCAAGTTGAATCTGAGTCAGCAGTGCCCTGGCAGCCAGGAGGTCCAACCATGTCCTTGGGGGCATCGGGCAAAGCATCGCCAGCCGGTCGAGGGAGGGGATCGTCCCGCTCTGCTCTGTACTGGGGTAGCCCCACCTCAAGTCCTGTGTGCAGTTTGGGGCACCACAATATAAGAAAGATATTAAGATATTAGGGGGCATCCAAAGGGGGGCAATGAAGATGGTGAAGGGCCTTGAGGGGAAGCTGTATGAGGAGCAGCTGAGGGCACTTGGTCAGTTCAGCCTGGAGGAGACTGAAGGGAGACCTCATTGTGGTCTACAATTTTGTCACAAGGGGCAGAGGAGGGGCAGGTACTATCTCTTCTCAGTGGTGACAAGTGACAGGACCCATGGGAACAGCATGAAGCTGTGTCAGGGGAGGTTTAGATATCAGGAAAAGGTTCTTCACCCAGAGGGTGGTTAGGTGCTGGAACAGGCTCCCCAGGGAAGTTGTCACAGCACCAAGCCTGACAGAGTTCAAGAAGCATTTGTACAATGTTCTCAGGCACATAGTGTGATTCTTGGGGTGTTTAGTGCAGGACCAGGAGTTGGACTGTAATGATCCTTGTGGGTCCCTTCCAACTCAGGAAATTCTATAATTCTCTGATTCGATTCTGTGCTCTTTTTGCCTGATTTTCATTGTTTCGATGACTGCTGGTGAAAAAAAAAAGTGACTTCCTGTTTTCTCCTTCTCAGAAAGCAAGTTTACATTCCTTAGTTTTGTAAAATTGCTAGTGTTGAAGGGAAAATTCGGTTACGATCTGTGACCAAGGAATGATGGGGGAATGGACCTACTGTTGGGCTGAGGTGGTCCGTACAGGTGCTCTCAGGACTGGTGCTGGAGCAAGTGTATACAGGGAACCTGCTTGAGATGCATCTTTGCAGACTCCAAGTAGAACCTCTTCACGTAGAACCTAGTATTGCAGTGCATCTGCTCAATGCATTGTTCATTAAATGTTTCTTTTATATTTAAGTACAAACATGTGCTTAATTCACCTCAAAGGATACCATAAAAATTCCCCAGCGGTGTCTAAAGCTCAAACCCAGTAAACAAGCATAAAAAGCAAACACCTCTTCCCTTCAATTAAAAATCACATGGTTTTGAAGAGTTCACTCAGTTATTGCATAATTGTGTTTTTTCAGTATTTTGTATTTCGCCTTGAGTTTGTACCATGAGTGCCTGTGCAGGTAGCGTCCTGCTACCCCATCCCCATTTGCATCAGAAGGAATGTGCACTGGTGCTGAAGTGCCTGGTCTGCCTGCCTGGATGGTACAGCAGGTACTCAGCCACCAAGACAACCAGAATGCACAGCAGTCACAAGCACAAGGACAAAGAAAAAAACGGCTGAGGAAAGGAAAAATTTCATGCAGGACTACGGAGACTAGAGGCAATGTTTCTTTTTCTCCCTTCCCATCTGGTCCCCTCCCTCCCTCTGCACATCCGCAGAATTGCCAGCAGTGACAGCAGTCCCTATACCCCGCACCCTAGATCGTTTTAAGACAGGAAAAAGCCCACTGCTACCCTTCTCCCAAAAATCTGATAAAGTGAGCTCTATTTTTTTTTCTCATCCTTTGTCTTTGATCTCCTTGTTGCTTTATATTCAACTTTTTCCCTTGGCTCAACCTGTGCTTGATGTGGTGATCATGGTGTCTGCAGAGAGCCAAAAGGTCATGCCAGGCAGTTCCCATGTTCTAGCACCTTCAGTTTGATGCCTGCACATTTCATCGCTGCCAGCACGCAATGACTGACTGTCCTCCTCCTTCCTGTCAACTCCATTTGGATGCAATGAGGGCGGCTGTCTTCTTTGGGGCACTGGTAAGGTATCAGGCAGGAGCACTGGGTCTGTGTCTCTGGGAATGAACGTGTGGAAATTTAGCAAAAACTGTGATGATTAAAACCAAATTTCATAGTTTGATGACATTTCAAAGTCCAACAGAGAAAAACATCATTGGATGTTTGTGATATATTAGTCACAAAAAGCCTGTAGTGCATACACTAGATGGTAGGGTATTAAGAATAATCAGCTTTAAATAGCGGTTTTTGCAGTAGTGGCCCATACAGAAGCAGAATTGATCTAACTATTTTTATCCATTGGCTTTCCCTTACCTTTCTTCCAAACAAAAAGATATTAAGTTGACTTTCTGTTCCCAATTATCCTTGAACACAGTCTTGCTATGAAATGGAGTCTTAAGGTTCATACTGTGTCAGCTCCTATTTCATTAAAGCTCCCTTTATGAATGCTAAGCTACCTGCTGCTGGCCTGTGGTAAAGCTCAGTCCTGGCGGTTATTTCATTACCCATTTCTGATCTAATCAGGTTCTGACTCTTTATATTCTTTCCCAGAAATTCCCTAGGCAGGAAACTAAGTTTCTGCCTTCACTTTCTTAAAACATGAGAAATGTATGCTTTCCTCCATTTGGCTGCTTTCATGGCACTGCAGTATCTTCTGCCTCTATGTTGATATCTACTACTCACTCTCAGGAAAATCGGAACTTTCATTTCCTAAACATTTGTGCATACTCGTGAAAAGTAGACTTCTGTGGAGATGGTGAGGAGTCCAATTCAAATCTCCTGAGTATTACAATGAACGCTAATTTTATTTAATGTATTTTTCTCCCCTCTTATTTTTTTTGTACAGAGCTCCTCTGTAGGCTTTTGAGAGAAAAATACTGAAGTGCTGGCACAGGATCTAGCCTTAAGACATTTGCACAGTGGGAGCACAGCTAGGCTTCTTACACAGTCTGGAATAAATAAGCCCAATGTTTTCCTAAAATTATAACCACTTTCCCAGCAGCAAAAGGTATCTAGAGGCTCCACCAGAGCATGTCTCCCAATGGACACACCTGGTCATGCCCTCCGCTCAAGCACCGCACGGAACAACATCTCATGGAGTAGTTTTATAGCCTCTTGCTTCAAATCCTACGCTGCAGAAATCTTGCATCTTTAAAACAGGGTTTTAGGATTGCTGCACACTGTTGTTGCTTTATTTGTCGTTAAGGAGACCAGGTGTGATAAGGATCATGGTTGTCTCTGGAAGCAAGTGCAGGAGTGAGCGTGTCTGCTACTCAGCCTTTTCCTGGCAAGTGCTCAATGTGGGGAGCCAGCCAGCACCTCAGACATTTACAGGAAAACCTACTGCTCTTATCACCTGGTTACACGGTAAATAGCCAAGTTGCACAACAATGTTTATAAAATAATCCTCTTAGGGATTTGACCTGCTTAGCTAGTTCATTAAAACTCTTAAGCAGTGTTTTCACATATGGGTATTTGCAAATTTTACCATTAAAATCCCATTAAGCCTGGTGGCCCCAGTCTTGCTTTTGAAGTAGTATCATGATCTAATTTCACAATTTAATTATATGTTATAGAGGGTGTGGCCCAAATTAATTACTGAAGAACAAACTAGTGGTTAGTGTCTCACATGGAATGGGTGATAATATTACCAACTACATTCTTGTGACTGAAAATTCAAATGTTAATTCTCCTGGAAAAGTTCCCTTAATATCCAAGTTCCTCTTGTGCCTTTCTCATGGGAAGTAACAATGATACAGTAGTTGTGGGTAAAGGGAAAAGTGTAACACTTGCTAACAGGGACTTGGGACTTAGTGCACTTCCACACTCCTTGTGGCCAAAGGGACCACAAAGTCTATAAAGACCATTCTTGGAGCAGTGAAAGAGCACATTTCACTTTTAGATCCAAAGGGCTGGATAAATCTCACTATTCAGAAGTCATACCTGGACAATCCTCCCAGTCATAGCAGGTGTCATAGCCACAGGGCACTTTCTTCAAGCTATTTGTAGAGAGCTTTGCCCTTTCAATAGCCCAGTCTAGGTTGGAATCACCATGACAAGGGCCAGCATGCATGAAATGAAATGACTGCTCTCCAAGGCACATTTCAGCTGAATACTGACAGCTGGGCTTGGTCACATTCTGTTCAGAAACAGCATGTAGCACACAGATCTCTTCTGAGTAGTGGCTGCCAAAAGGAAGTAAAGAAAAATTATTTTAGCAGTCTGTGGAACAAGTCCGTGGTTCTAAGTTCTCCACCAGCATTGGATGAAACACAGCAAAGCCATGGCCAGGCCAGATATCCATCTAAAGACCTAAGGCTGTCCCAGCTACTGCAGGACCTGGACCTGATACAAGTGCTGTGAGATGAGGAAGCTTTGGTCCCATCCAACAGATAGGAGGTAAAGGACATGTGCTTGTACAAGAAAAAGGAGATGCTGTTACCTCCACAAGGATGTGAAATTTCCACAAGCTCTAGTGTGGCTTTTCCGAGTTAATGCATCCCTGCAAGTCTGCCTCTAATGCACAGTTATCTTGGGGCCAAAAGCAGGCAAAAAGAATCAAGCTGCTTGTAGTTTCTTTCTTTACATATTCCTCTCGGTTACTGAGCGGATTCATTCCTAAAAAGTGCATGCATTTCCAAGCAACATAATTTTATGGAGCTTAGTCACTTCCCAAAGCGAGAATCATAAAATCATAGAATGGCTTGGGTTGGAAGGGACCTTAGAGGTCATCTAGTTCCATCCTTGCATGCTCTTTGTGCAAGATGATGACAGTGAAAATATAGAAATTGGATAAATAAGGAAAAGGAAAAGGAAAAGGAAAAGGGAAAGGGAAAGGGAAAGGGAAAGGGAAAGGGGAAGGGGAAGGGGAAGGGGAAGGGGAAGGGGAAGGGGAAGGGGCAGGGGAAGGG